TACCGATTTTCATGCTCATGGATTCTTACCTGTTACAACACATTGCACTTTGCTTACCACAGCTGGAGTATGAATTGTTACAAGACATGCTCATGGATTCTTACCTGTTACAACACATTGCACTTTGCTTACCACAGCTGGAGTATGAATTGTTACAAGAGTAGAAGGGATATCCCCATCTTGAAAATTCTAAAATCCTGATCTGAACAGATCTTTACGATCTCAGTGGATGAATATTTTGCTTCTTAAAGAGCTGTTACATACCCCTTCCCAAAAGAAAACCGTTTTTAATGGCATCACGCTACATGCAAAATGCCAATCAATGTTGACATTTAATTTTGATACATGCTATTCCACTGTAACTTTATATCAGCTGCGATTGTCACTTGTATATTCAAAATTGTTTTAATATAACGTACTCAACCCAGTACACGTAATTTATCCATGATTCAGGCTTTGTGAGTAACTCAATCTGATATATCTTTGCAAATAAATGTTGGGTTTTAATATTTGAAAGGTAAGAAATGAAAGAGAATATTGACAAAAACTGCTTCAGTATTGTTTTTTTTTTTTTTAAGATTTTTTTAAGAATAATTTGGGTGATGTTGTTAATAATATTTCTATTGTGGCACATGGTGGTACCATGTGTTAGCTACTCCACTAGTTAATATTTAAATTTTTTTGAAATTTCTGTTTTCTTTCATTTCAGTTTGGATGCAGAGAGTCAAATGACTCAACCTTTTTTTACTTTTTACTCTGGTGCACATAAGATTTGAATCTGCTAGTTGGCCCTTAGGTGTGTTTTCATGTAGAGAAGGTAGCTGATACTTCACTTGTGATGTTTTGAAGTATATGGCTATCTTTTCTGTTGGCAAATTATGTAATGGCCTAGGGCTTTCTTTGCCTTATACTCTACTATGTATAATTTGAGGTCACGTGTGCAAAGTGGGGGACATAAACAAACTGTCATTGTTGATATTATTCTTCCCTATTAATAAGATTATTTTTCAAGTTTGTTTTCACTGAAGTTGAGATTTCCAATTTTCTTAGCAACCTCAACTTAAAATTTTGCTAGTTTAATGTGGTTTAATTGTAAAGTTAATTTAGTTTTATTTTAATCTTAATGGGGTTTCATTTTAAAATGCCCCCCCAGTGGCTCAGCATTTAGTCTGAGAGCTTATATCACTAAACTTCAGGTTTCTATATCTACCATGGGCTGGATGCAGATAGCGATTTGTGTAGCTTTGTGCTTAACAACAACCAAACATTTTAACATTGTAGTTTATTTTAGCTCACTGGGGGCTCACACTGGACTGTTAAATGTTTCTCCATACTCCCTTTGCAGTTCAACACTCATTACAAATACTTGTCTATTACTTTGTAACTGTGTATTGTGTTTTGTAAATAAATATTGTGATGTTGTACGTTTAGTGTATTGTCTCTTTCTTGTTGACGAAATCGGTCACAATTCAGAGAAAGACATGAACCAATATTCTGTAATGCGATGTTTTTCAAACCTTAAGTTTATGGACCCTAACTGACTATGCTGTAGGAAATACAAGCGCAGGAGTGTACCACAAAATTAATATTAGGAAGTTATTTATAGTTTGAATTATCTCCCCCAAAACTTACCATTTGTTTCGGCTCTTTTCTAAAGAAATTAAAGGATTGTGATGCACGTTTTGTACTAGAGATCTGTTTTATATAGTGAGGAACTCGTATTAGTGATTCAGTTTCAACATCTTTTTAAACAAATAATTTTGAAAGTAATCCATGTTCAAAGTTGAAGAACACTATTCGCTTCATAATCTCGGAAAGAATGCAGATTTGTGCATTATATCAAAGAATTAGAATAGTCAGTTATTCTAAAGTGCTTAAGTTTCTGGGTCTTTTGAAATCTACATAACTTTTTTGTGCAGTTTCTTTTTGATCTAGTAATAGTCTAACTATTAGTCTTGATATAAAATTTTCATACATTTGCTTTAACCTGTTATCCTGTATCTACATTTTTCAGTATTGGCTCGGGAGCCTAATGGGGCATGATATTGTGATGAACCAACTAACACACAATACACTGCAGAGACAAGATTAAACACAGCTCATTTGTCAAAGCTCATTTACTTTGACATTATTAGGCCCGGCATGGCCAGGTGGTTAAGGCACTAGACTCGCAATCTGAGGGTCGCTGGCTCGAATCCCCGTCACACCAAACACGCTCGCCCTTTCAGCCGTGGGGGCGTTATAACGTGACGGTCAATCCCACTATTAGTTAGAAAAGAGTAGCCCAAGATTTGACGGTGGGTGATGATGACTAGCTGCCTTCCCTCTAGTCTTACACTGCTAAATTAGGGACGGCTAGCCCTCGTGTAGCTTTGCGCGAAATTCAAAAACAAACAATACTGATGGGGTCTGCATATCGTATCGTATCAAGTCAAGTCATATCATTTTCTCTGTTACAACACTCACTGTAAATAACTGACTAGAAAGTAAGTGAAATCATTCATTTTCTACGTACAACGTATATATGGGACCCCAATGGTAAATCATAGGGAATAACTACAGCTCTTTTGTTTACATGTTTTGTGTGATTTTTATGGCAGAAGAGAGCCTGAAACCAATAAGCGTAAAAACCCATAAGCAATTTGGTACATAAATAGTTTACAAAAACATCACGAAAAATGAAATATTTGACAGAATCAGTACACAAACAA